TTAAAATGGTGTCCACTCATTTCTGTCATCAGCACTGATGAATCCAAAGCATCTCCCCCTAGCAACCATCTCCAAGGGCTCTACTCTGACACATGCTGCCAATTAAGATTGGACAGTGATTTCCAGAGAGTGGCGAGGTGATTCGTGTGGCCATATATATATATGGATAGAATTGTGACTTCGCAATTAAATAAGAAACAAACGTGAAATTATATAACACTTACTTCTGTTTTACAATATATAAACCTTGGTAACAATTGAATTATCACATTTGTGAGGTATTTCAGCATGTCAACTGTCAAAATCAGACAAAGATATGCTGGTATCAAATTGGTACCCGTTACTTTGTGTAAAATAGCCCAAATTGAAATAAAGTCACGGCTTATGGTGTTTCACTCTGCTCATAAAGCTGGTGTCGCTGCTGACTCCCTGGAGGTGGCACCTGGTGGGGACAATGAAACCCTGCGGTTTCATTTTCACTCTCAACTTTGGGACACTTGTGCAAATGGAGGGCTGAGGTAAAACCGAAACCTTCCCAATGTTAGTGAAGATGTCAAAGAGAGGGAAAGCCACTGAAACACTGGGTTGAGAGGTAGGGAGAGACAGTGTATTACAGCAGTGCTTTTCAGAAGGACATAAGAAAAGGTAAGTATGATTAGTTAAAAGGAATTGTTCAAGGAAAGTGCTATGTCCTGATTAGGCAAAAGACAGCATACCGATTGTGGGTTTAACGAAAGGAGTGATTACATGGAGAGTTGAAGGAGGTGTATCCTTCAGAATGTCCTTCTCTCCTTTGTGTAACGGCTCATAGGGAAGGGGAGGACAAGGGACAAAAATAGGAATGAGCTGAGCAAAATTAAAAAGGGTCGCTCATAAATGACTGTCTCCATATTCAGAGGAGGGATGAACAGAAAGGATAAAAAAATAAAAGCGGGGTGAACTGAGGGGATGGAGGGATGAAAGGAGGGGTGAACTGAGGAGATGGAGGGATGAAAGGAGGGGTGAACTGAGGGGATGGAGGGATGAAAGGAGGAGTGCACTGAGGGGATGGAGGGATGAAAGGAGGGGTGAACTGAGGAGATGGAGGGATGAAAGGAGGGGTGAACTGAGGAGATGGAGGGATGAAAGGAGGAGTGAACTGAGGGGATGGAGGGATGAAAGGAGGGGTGAACTGAGGAGATGGAGGGATGAAAGGAGGGGTGAACTGAGGAGATGGAGGGATGAAAGGAGGGGTGAACTGAGGGGATGGAGGGATGAAAGGAGGAGTGCACTGAGGGGATGGAGGGATGAAAGGAGGGGTGAACTGAGGAGATGGAGGGATGAAAGGAGGGGTGCTGTGATGGTAAACTTTAGAAGGACCATCTCTCCTGTGTGCGGGGGTCCGTGTTTAGAGAGGGGGACTCTGGGGGGTTCTGGGAACTGCTGTGCTCTCCATTCAACCCCATCCTACATACAGGACACGTGTCATGCTGCAGACAGGGTGAGAAAAAAGCAATGACAAACTCCTCCAAAACATTCCTCCAGCATAATCACACCCCATGTTCATTTATTTATTTATTTATTTATTAATGGAGTGTTATTAATATGCAAAGTATATGAATCATATATGAAACATCGTACAGGAGGTAGACTGGATTTTTAATTTCTACGCATAGTAGAGTATAAGTCAACATTATGCTCAAATAGCCTCAATAGCCTACTGCCTGAAAGTGTAACGTAGTGTTCACTGTTATCAGAGACCAGACATTTGCTCAGTAACACAACAGATTAAAGGGAACATCTGTCCTCACCATTTCCAGCCACGGTACTATACAGCCAGAGTGGAAGAAGTGGTTACAGGGTAGTTGTCTGACAGGCTCTCCCACTTTGAAGTCCTCCTTACACACTGGACACTCCATACAGCAGTCTACACAGACAAACACACACCGCTTTACTGAAAGATATTATATTTCATCACAAGTAGAGAGAGTATTTCCGTATACAAGGGCAACAGGAGAATACGAAAAAAATAATGCTGTTCGCAATTTTCCGAGTCGAACAATATGAGAAAGTATGACAAAATGCAAGCACTTATTTCTGAAATTCACTACGGAAGAAAACAGCTAAAACCTAAACAATTTTAAAAATAAAATGTGTAAGTTCCCATCCAAGGAATACGACAAAGGTTTCCCATGCGTAGGAATAAGACGCCGGTGGGGACTTTTTGATGATGACATTTAATCGCAAATTACAACTTTTTACAAATGTATTCACACACGGAATGATCTAAAACATCTCACCTATCCTCACATCAAACTGTAAAAACCGTCACATGAGTGTGTGTGGTTTGCCCAATAAGCTGTGGGAGCCAATGTGGATGCATGTTCTGACCACTAGGGGCATAGTGTCAGTAAACACATCAGCTGATTAAAAACCACATGTGTTTTTAAAGTTAGTGTGTGTGAACTGTAAGAGAATGTATGCAAGTTTCTTACCACCTTCAAACAAGCTCAAATTAATGCAAGAGAACACTGATTTTAATGGACAACGTGTCTACGTTCGTTAGGCATCATCACTTGCCAGGTTACTTGTTGACTTAATAAAAGTTTACTTTAGTCTGAAGCAAAATGTCACAACACAATGGTTTTTGTTGCAACGTGAAGTGTAAAGAGTGGAATTATTATGGAACAGAAACTAACCTGGTAGACACTCAGCTGTGTAATTCAAACAGAAACTAACCTGGTAGACACTCAGCAGTGAGATTCAAACATAAACTAACCTGGTAGACACTCAGCTGTGTAATTCAAACAGAAACTAACCTGGTAGACACTCAGCAGTGAGATTCAAACATAAACTAAACTGGTAGACACTCAGCAGTGTGATTCAAACAGACACTAACCTGGTAGACACTTAACAGTGTAATTAAAACAGACACTAACCTGGTAGACACTCAGCAGTTTGATTCATAAATAAACTAACCTGGTAGAAACTTAGCAGTGTGATTCAAACAGAAACTAACCAGGTAGACGCTCAGAAGTTTGATTTAACAGAAACTAGGACAGATGATAAAATAAGCTGTGCTTAGTTTGCAACGTATAATGAACATTTGTTGTGAGGTTTCAAACTAGTTTGTTTGCTACATCTTAAAAAAGGTCAGTTATTATTTAATCTTTTTTAAAAATGAAGAATGTATATTAATGAAATAAACTAATCATTAATAGATCACAATCTGTCCCATTGGCCAATTTTCCTGCTTTCTAGAACAAAAGATACATGTATAAACTAAATATAATTGTATTACAAAACATTTTTCAATGGTCTATGTTTTGAAACAGTTAACTTTTGAAAGTTAATTGTGTGCATGTATGAGTGGGGTGTGTGCTCACAGACTAGTGTCAAAGACATAACAGGACAAAAGGCAACAGCTGGTATAGACGCCGAAATAACCCCAATGAGTCAGCAGCATCATATTATTATACTTTCGCTTACGTTAAAGATTATTTCTACGATCGTTGACTTATGGTTGTAAAAGTAAATCGTGTGTACTACGTCATGTATATGACAATGTCATCAAAACCCCACACTTCAAAATTTGAATTTTTATTAAAAAAATATTTTATTCAAAAAATGTCAACATCTTTAAGCAATAAGTTATAGAGTAAGGCTGAACGATGAATTGGATTTGCGATAATATCGTGATATGTTAAAACATGATTATTTAAACCGCAAAGGTTGTAATTATTAATGGCCTTAGGCTTGGTAGATCCTAAAACCTGGGAAGCGTTAATGTTAAAAGAGGAACAACGCTACGTCAGTTGTGTGAGACTATTTTTGCTTTAAAAAAAATTCTGGCAAGCATCAGGTATATCGGAAAACCTGCCTTGCAAACGTTGCTACCTCACTGCTACTTGATTATGCGGCACTTAGTGTTTTATGATACTGATTGGAGATCAGTCTAATAGTATGTATTTATTTAAAGACACTTTCTAGAAAATTTTGCAGAATAAAAAAAAAAAAGTGCAATCCACATGTATACATATAATATATTCATTACAGTGACTTTGAATTATCTAAATACTGAGTGTGGTAAAGCCACAGACATTAAATAGAAATATTTCTGCAATCTACACATTTGTGTGATTTCTTACACCAGGCTTATACACAATTTTCCTAAATCGCTCAGCCCTACTATGCAGACATACATACATACAGGAGACACAATAAGCCACAATATAGCCACACATAGAAAACCGACAATATACCACAGATAAAAGCTGCACACATTGCCTGCACACCGCCCTCAGCTGTGGGTTATTGGCAATATACCAGACCTCTGAGGTGCCATATTGCAATAATAAACCTGTTAGCATCTAAATAGATTTGATAATATACAGGATACAAGCCCTGGCACAATGGAAACAGAAGGAAGAGGACATCTACTGACCTGCTTGTTCTTGAGACACATTTACTGTTGGGATGGAGAAGATCTTTTCTTGATCTGCAGGAGGTGGTCCTGTGTTCTCAAACTGACCTAACAACTACACGTGAGCACAGACGCATAAACACAGACACAAAGAAAACACCACAACACAGATGCTGCAAGAACCAAACAAAAACAGCATCATGTAACTGTGTATAAAAAAATGTGAGCCTGCCCGGCAAGGCAATACTAGAGGGAAACTAGTCTGTAACCAGAAACCCTGAGCATTAATGAGGAACAGAGTATTTCACGTGAACTAAAAAACATTTATTTACCATTACTAATGTTAGCCTAACAAGAAGTATGTTAGAAGTGTTCATCAATAAGGGCCTGTGTACCTGTGTGATGACTGCGTCCAGACCCCCCTGTCCCCAGGCATAGTCCCCTGGGTTAGAATGTAACATTCCTGTCCTAACAAACACACACAAAAGATGAATTGACCATTAACCACGTAGCACACAGTAAGACGGAGCATACATTTATTTATTTAACCAGATAGGCCGATTGAAAAACATAATTCTCATTAGCAACAGCAACATGAAGAGAAGCTGGGGATTGAACCCAGGACATCATTCACACAACTTATGCACTCCACCACTGAGCAACCATATCCTCCAATAGGAACCCAGAACAGCATTCACACAGAGCATTGGGATGTACCACTGAGCTACCATCTCCTCCAATAGGAACCCAGAACATCATTCACACAGGGCATGGGATGTACCACTGAGCTACCATCTCCTCCAATAGGAACCCAGAACATCATTCACACAGGGCATGGGATGTACCACTGAGCTACCATCTCCTCCAATAGGAACCCAGAACATCATTCCCACAGGGCATTGGGATGTACCACTGAGCTACCATCTCCTCCAATAGGAACCCAGAACATCATTCCCACAGGGCATGCGCTCTACCACTGAGCTACACCAACTGCTATATACATGATTAACAGTAACTGCAATGAGTTAACAGCATATGGAAACAATACGGCTCCTCTCAACCTTGACATTTTGTTAATAGATGCCTTCATTTAAAAGGTGTTTCTTACCATGAGGGGGGAGGTGAGCCTGGGACTCCAGAGTTGGCAAAAAGACCAGCCAAAAACTGTTGCACTATCCTATAGAGGGGAACATATGCATCAGTCAGGAAAAATATCTGGAAAACAATAAAAACTAAAAAAAAAAAGGCAAATTAAATGGTGACCGATGAGGAAACTGAAATGAATATTACCATATAATTCACAGAGACTCACCCCTCTATATGAAAATAACCATATAATTCACAGAGACTCACCCCTCTATATGAATATAACCATATAATTCACAGAGACTCACCCCTCTATATGAATATAACCATATAATTCACAGAGACTCACCCCTCTATATGAATATTACCATATAATTCACAGAGACTCACCCCTCTATATGAATATAACCATATAATTCACAGAGACTCACCCCTCTATATGAATACACCATATAATTCACAGAGACTCACCCCTCTATATGAATAGTACCATATAATTCACAGAGACTCACCCCTGTATATGAATATTACCATATAATTCACAGAGACTCACCCCTCTATATGAATACACCATATAATTCACAGAGACTCACCCCTCTATATAAATACACCATATAATTCACAGAGACTCACCCCTCTATATGAATATTACCATATAATTCACAGAGACTCACCCCTCTATATGAATATAACCATATAATTCACAGAGACTCACCCCTCTATATGAATATAACCATATAATTCACAGAGACTCACCCCTCTACAGCAGGCGAGCGGTCAGGTCTGCTGCTACCCCTGGAGCGGAACCGTCTCGGACTGCGACCAGGCGCCCAATGTTCCCCGCCTCCCAGTAGAGGGGGCCCCCCTAGTCCTGCAGGGACTGACCCTCCAATTGGAAGCCCCCCCAACCCCACTAGCCCCCCCAGGCCTAAGCCTCCTGCCCCAACTCCCCCACCAGGGACCCGGGGTTCCACGTCTAAACTGTCACCATCCACTGCAAACGGCCTCTCCACAAACAACAGTTGCCACAGCTGCTGACACATGGGCAAGGAAGGGTGGGGATAAATAGGCAGGGTTAGTCGTGGGGAAATGACAGTACATCACCCAGTACACACCAGCCCACAGCCCACCCCTATACCTCAGACCCTGTACACACCAGCCCACAGCCCACCCCTATACCTCAGACCCAGTACACACCAGCCCACAGCCCACCCCATACTTCAGACCCAGTACACACCAGCCCACAGCCCACCCCTATACCTCAGACCCTGTACACACCAGCCCACAGCCCACCCCTATACCTCAGACCCAGTACACACCAGCCCACAGCCCACCCCTATACCTCAGACCCTGTACACACCAGCCCACAGCCCACCCCTATACCTCAGACCCAGTACACACCAGCCCACAGCCCACCCCTATACCTCAGACCCTGTACACACCAGCCCACAGCCCACCCCTATACCTCAGACCCAGTACACACCAGCCCACAGCCCACCCCTATACCTCAGACCCTGTACACACCAGCCCACAGCCCACCCCTATACCTCAGACCCAGTACACACCAGCCCACAGCCCACCCCTATACCTCAGACCCTGTACACACCAGCCCACAGCCCACCCCTATACCTCAGACCCTGTACCCACCAGCCCACAGACCACCCCTATACCTCAGACCCAGTACCCACCAGCCCACAGCCCACCCCTATACCTCAGACCCAGTACCCACCAGCCCACAGCCCACCCCTATACCTCAGACCCAGTACACACCAGCCCACAGCCCACCCCTATACCTCAGAACCCAGTACACACCAGCCCACAGCCCACCCCTATACCTCAGACCCAGTACACACCAGCCCACAGCCCACCCCTATACCTCAGACCCAGTACACACCAGCCCACAGCCCACCCCTATACCTCAGAACCCAGTACACACCAGCCCACAGCCCACCCCTATACCTCAGACCCTGTACACACCAGCCCACAGCCCACCCCTATACCTCAGACCCAGTACACACCAGCCCACAGCCCACCCCATACTTCAGACCCAGTACACACCAGCCCACAGCCCACCCCTATACCTCAGACCCAGTACACACCAGCCCACAGCCCACCCCTATACCTCAGACCCAGTACACACCAGCTCACAGCCCACCCCATACCTCAGAACCCAGTACACACCAGCCCACCCTACACCTCAGACCCAGTACACACCAGCCCACAGCCCACCCCATACCTCAGAACCCAGTACACACCAGCCCACAGCCCACCCTACACCTCAGACCCAGTACACACCAGCCCACAGCCCACCCCATACCTCAGAACCCAGTACACACCAGCCCACCCTACACCTCAGACCCAGTACACACCAGCCCACAGCCCACCCCATACCTCAGAACCCAGTACACACCAGCCCACAGCCCACCCTACACCTCAGACCCAGTACACACCAGCCCACAGCCCACCCCATACCTCAGAACCCAGTACACACCAGCCCACCCTACACCTCAGACCCAGTACACACCAGCCCACAGCCCACCCTATACCTCAGCAAACTGTGTGGCTGTGTCATCAATCCCGTTTGCGCCGCCCTCTAGGAGACTGAGGGAAACAGCACACAGGAGGCAGAATACAGCCTTAACAATACATCAACAGTCAACACACTCATCCATCACCAATGTTGGGGGTAAAACGTTACAAAGAACTTCAGTACAGTTTCAACAACGAACGTAACGCGTTAGTTATGCAATTCTAGTAGTCAGTTATTAAGTCATGCTTTCAAGTAGGCAATTCTTCACGGACTGCAACTTTTGTTGACGCACACAAAAGATGCAATTATAGTGTTTCTTTCCTACTTCTCGGTGGGTAGTTGCGTACTAGTGGATGGTATAAAATCATACGGTTGTGTCAGAGCGCATGTACACCTCAGCTAGCAAGATGGCAGAGGACCGCTTTTACAGCGTAGAAGTATTCACATTATTTGGAATATGTGGGTGAAAGGGACAAGAAATTTAAGAAAGCTGCACCTGCAAGCAAAGCACAGCAGCTCCACAATACTGGTGACAAGGCCCAATGAGGAGAGTGATGCCCTCAACTCTAAAACAGTGACAGCTAGCTTTTAGTTTGGCTAAAGTTAAGCCTGTGTTTTATTGTTTCCATAGAGGCAACTGTGCCTACTATCAAAGTATATTATAATGTCAAATGTACTGTATATATGCATCTGCCCAGTTCGCTAGCAGCCAGGAGGCTACACAGATGCCTCCTGTCAAAAACCCTGACTTTCAAAATTAACATCAAAAGTAGCATTACCAGACCCTGTCCTTTACACACATACCTTCACTTTACCTAGGCTGACATACTGCGCAGATTCAGTAAAGCTGAACAAAATGAAGTGAGATTCTCACCTGGAGTCTTCTGTTACCTCCTCAATGAAGCCCGACTCACACCTGGGACAGATGTACTCCTGCGGACAACACATAGTCAGTTGGAGAGGAGACTATAGAGGACGCAATGTGACTCAGTGTACAATATATAGCTCATGAGGAGAGAGGGTACGGGTACGCATGGGTGTCTGCCTGTGGAATAGGGAAATGTTAAGTCAATGTTTATGTAAAGTGGACGTTGCCAGTTGGGAGTTTGAATGAATCACAGCAGCACAGAGAGACTGTGACAATGAGACTAGCAGGCAGATTTAGTATGTGTGTAGGCTAGGATGGATGTGACTCAGAGACACAGACCTAGAATAGGCTGAATCCAATTAAGTGGAAAACCATAAACAGCCCTTAGGTCAGACAGTGTCTTGCAGAAACCACTCACAGATGCCTCGAAATAACACCCAGAATCTGTATTATTCTTTGTTTCCCGCCGTAGCTCTGGATAATGTGTGCTTTCTACGGGATGGGTTGCTTCGTTGTTCTACCTGGCAGACTCAAAATGAACTCGTTCTGAGTAAGAGACGCCAGTGAATGATACACCATGATTTGTTTTTCAATGTAACGAAGGGAATGAACAAGAAAATACCAGAATTCGTCTTACTGACAGGATTTGTCGCTAAATCTATGGCAAGAGTACCAGACAGAGAGTTTCAGACTCATTGAATGACAGACAATGACAATAAAACATATTTACACCGCTAAGTGAAAACCAGATGTGATAACATCACATCATAAAACGCAGTGAACATGTTGCACATACGTTTATCACAGATGCATCAAACATAAAACTTTGCTTTAACTGAATAACTAAAGAGCACTTTCACTTTTTGACGGCAGTTACTGACACTTCAAAGCATTTACAAAATGGTCCTCTTTTCGGGTTATTGTTTCTAGAATGAACAGCAGCCAAATACAAGCAATGAAATAGTGCGCAATTCCTGTTCACCTATTGTAGATTTTACTTTCTGTTTATTATGAAACGGCGTTTACCATGAAAAAACTCAGCCTTCGTTCACTATGTTTTGAAGGCCAGTGAGTAGCCAGGCTTCTGCTGGTTGAGTGACAATAAAATATCCTCAAGATTTCCTTATCAAGACAGTAACGCTAAATAACCCAACGTTAATTGGCTAGCTAGTTATAACGAAAAAA